AGCCAAAGAAAACCCTAGAAAACCTAATATTATTCAAAGCCTATAAAAAGGGATTGTCTCTACCCAAAAATCTCTACACCTTATATCTTGTACCTAATTCTCATCTTTCTCTCTCATATCCTACAAAGGGGTACGCCCCACTTAGAATTTCTCTCTCTCTTAAGAAAAACTTCTCTCTCTCATGAAAGCCAAAGGGGGCACGCACCACTCTCTCATTGTTGATCTCTCTCTCCCACATTGTGAAAGAACCTAAAGGTTTAGGTTATGGAGTTCTTCTCTCTCTTATCTCTCAACTATAGATTTATGGTTAGGGGTTTTAGGGTTTAGCAAAAAGATAATTCATCTCTCTCAAACTAGGTTGCTAAGAGAATTCACCTAGGGTTTGAGTTTGAGATCAAAGGGGTTCATATTCTATTGGTGTGGTTTGGCCTAAACTTGCTTTGCCCTTTGAGATTGAAGATTGATCATTGATCCTGTGCCATCGGATGGTGGTGACTCGGTATTGGGTGTAATAAGCCCGGTTGAGGTAATCTTCGGCACTCTTCCTCATCTTTCTTGCAATCTTATCTTTTATTCTCAAGCATAGTGCATAGTTGTTTCAATGACATCAAGTTGTTAGGATCTTAGTTTTATTGTCATGTTGATTTTATTTTGAAATTTATCTTATTTTAATAAAGACCACCTGTAAATTATCTTGTGCCAACTTGTGCCAAAAGAAAGGGGTGAAGAAAAAAAATGTATTCCCCGATAAAAGATCACGTAGGTCTTTCTTTCATAGATTTAGGTAGGCTGACCATGTGTAGCATATACCCAGTACAACAACTGTAAGAAAGTGTGAGTTAATTCAATTGGAGGATCAAAAAGGGTAAGGGGCAGGTCCAAAAGATATGATTGAAAGTAGTGAGAAAAGATATGAGGGCCTCTAGCATTACTGAGGGTACGATCCTTAATAGAGTAGAATAGTAGACCGAGAATCATGTAGCTTCTGATAAGTATTGTCCTGTACATATTTGACTCTCTGCCCATATATCAGAACTTTCTTCGTGATGGAAAACCACGTAGGGAATGGAAATGAGACCATGCTTCTCGTTGCAATTGTTCATAATTTTAACAAGTGAGTTGCGGCTTACCGCGCCCAAAACTCAATTCATCACTGTTAGCGACCATGGTCAAACCATCACGCTACTACGTTTAAACAAATTTTTACCGTGGTGCACCCAAAAGTCATTTCATAACGATTGCCTACCGCGGTCAAATTTGGGTCACTTCATCACGATTACCTACCATGGTCAAATTTGGGTTGTGCTTAGTAAAAATGTAATGAACCACAAGCCCGACCCATACATATACTCAAGTGAGGGGCGCCTCATGCACCAATGCAAAGTACACTATAAAATGCCCTTATGCACTCATACACTCTCCACATATATCCACACTCTCCCTTTTGTTCTATGAATATAAGGCATGAAAATGTTCTCATATAAATGTCAATCTTTCTACATATATTCTTCAATGTGGGATTAAAAACTTGTTGGAATAGTTGGTAATGAGGCTATAACCGTATTGACTAGTTGTATATAACGGTTGCCTCAAAATCTGTGATTCCTCTCTATCACCTCTATCATCTTCTATTTTTATTCTTCTCTCTGCTTTGAAGTTGTAATATATATAATATAAGGGAAACAATGAGTTATGATAGAATAATAAGCAATCTCCCTTCTCGTGGATGTAAGCAACAACGTCGAACCACGTAATTCCTTTCTTCTTTTTTCAACATGGTATTAGAGCATAAAATTTTTTCGGCCATCTTTACTACTGCATATCATAAAGTTTTGTTTAGAGAGAAGTTTTGTTTTTATGATCTATTTCTGAGATTTTTCAAGTGGGGTCGTGACCCACCTTTGATCTACGTTTGCACACTGCTGGATTCAAACCTTGCTGGAATTTTTTGGCCAGACCTTTTCCTTGCTGCTTATCCTAGTTTGTAGTGGGCAACACATCTCTTTCTCTCTTTTTCCGGTAGTGGGGCTTTGTCCCTCTTTTTCTCTTTGTTTTTTGGCATTGGCACTGCATGTTCTATTTATCACCCATTTTCTCCGGTAAAATTTGAAATCGCCGAATATTTCTTGGCAAACATATCAACTTCATTTTGACTGTGAAACTCTTGAAGCTTGTTAGACGGGTAATTCTCAGATCTTGAGTTTTCAGACCATTGCCTTGCTCACTGGATACCTCAGAGTAAGCAAAGAGTTACCCGAGTACTTTGGATATTAACTTAGGCTCTTTCCATCTCTCGTTTTATGTCTTTCACGACCAGCAAAAAGCTACCCTTTGCCTTGTAGGTGGTCTTGCATATTGACTGTGAGAGTGACAATGTTGCTGTATTTTTTGGAGTCACATAGCTACATTATTCTATTCTTTTAGGTTTTTCAGCGTTGCTGGTCAATTCTTAAGCTACAATTTTTTTTTCTAATCCTACTTGTGTGCCTTTGCCAAGGTCACTAATTTTCTTTGGGCTACATTTATTTTCTTCATGGCTAAAAATTCAAACTCAAATGAATCCAACCCAAATCTGAAAATTACTTCAGAACTTTTAATGGGTGTGAGCAATTATCTTTTTTGATCCAATTCTACATAAATGTTTATTAGTGGAAAACGAAAGTTGCCTTACCTAACTGGGTCAAAAAAGAAGGCTCTAAACACAAACGACTCTAGTTATGAGGAATGGCAAACAAACAATGACCTTGTAAGGTCTTGGTTGTTGAATTCTATGGTAAGAAAATTAGCAAAGGGCTTTAGTTTCTTTCTACTGCTAATGCCATTTGGAATAAAGTCAGAGAATTATATGGCAACTTAAATAATGCTGCCAAGATATATCAAATTAAACAAGATATCATGCATTTAAAAAATGGGGAACAATTTGTTGGAGAATTAATTGGGACTATGAGTGGCTTGTATGATGAACTTGATTATTAACTGCCTGCTACAACTGATATGAACACTCTTGAAACTTGTAAGGACCAAGAAATGACCTTTTCCTTGCTTTCAGCTTTGGGTTCTGAGTATGAAAGTGTTAGCAATCAAGTACTCTTAACACCTACCATGCCAGATTTTAGTACTATTTGTTTCATTCTTCTAGAGAAGAGACACGACGTGCTGCAATGTCAGATGATGCTAAAAATAAAACTGATGGATCTAATCACTCTACCTTGAAATTTGAAAATATTGAAAGGCTTAGAAAAGCCTTACCATCTAAGAATACTTCTTCCCGTAGCAAAGGGCGGAATGGAAATCAACCTTACTATACTGAATGCAAAAAAGAAAGACACTCAACAAAAAATTGTTGGAAATTGCATCCAAAAAAGAAAAGATAATTCCAAGAAAAAAAGAAGATGGTCAATCAAGCTAAGAACAAAACTCAACACCTTGAGAAATTGGCTCAACTCCTTTACAATTTTGGTAAGGCTTCTGTTGCATCTAATTCCTAAAGTTTTGGTAGTGAACTAGATAACTCTTCTTTACTTTCTCATTCTTTATCTTCCTGGATTATTGATTCTGGTGCCACTGACCATATGACAGGATCTAAACAAGTTTTAACTCAATATCAAACTTCTCAAAAAAATACTCATGTTACTATTGTTAATGGGTCCATAGTGTCTGTTAAAGGAAGTTGAAAAATAATCACGCTAGTACTGATATTCTGCACTTACTTGATTTCTCGTCAAGCCTCCTTTCTGTTAGCAAAATTACACAAAATCTTAATTGCAGTGTGATTTTTTCTCCTACCAATGTTTTGTTTCAAGATCGGGCCACGACAAGGACGATTGGTGAGGGATGGTTGGAATGAGGTCTTTTCATATTTAATGTTTTTTCTACGAATCCAAATAACTTGAAATTTTAGACGTTCATTCTTCTCATCAAGGCGCACCTAATAAAAATACTTTAAAAAAGCATTCATAAAATTAAATTGACCAAAATACCCTTGAAACTTTTCAAGGGTATTTGGGTCAATTTATTTTTTGTAAATTATTTTTTCTATATTTTTATTAGATTATC